CCATATATGGATGGGCTAGATAGGTAAGTACCGCCTGATAGGGTATGGTTTTTAAGGATCTCGACCCTTTAATAGAGTATCATTTTTTACGTTGTTGCCCTTGTGTCTTTGGTTTGATTCTTAGATAGGGTAACTCAAGTAGTAATGGATGATTTATTCCATTCTTTCCATTTTGTAGAAAAACAGTAATCCAGAACACGCTCGGAAGAATTGCAAGGTCTTACGAGTTGTATATACGCAGGGAAGGATAATTTTTTACCATCCCCAAGGTATTTGCTTTAGAGGACTCCTCACAGAAAACAATTGTTTTAAGAGTACTCCTTTTGTTCCTATATGGGACCAAATCAAGTGAGAATAATGGACCAAATGCCCAGCCGGCTCAGTCTAAGACCCCAAGTGAGTGTTATTAAAACAGGTACATACGAAGGTATTGGCCAGCGACTAATTGGATTTTGTGTTTAGGTTTCTGTTGTGGTTCGAAGGTTTGCCACTAGTGACGTTTTGTTTTATTTGCAGTAAACATTTTGAATCTTTCCAGGCCTCGTTTGATTTAGTTGGCCAAAATATGGAAGCCACTATTACTTCTTTAAGATTGCTTTTTAGACAAGAACGGTGTACTATGTGATGCGTCAACCTGTTATAAGATCTAACAAGGAAAGCTTGAACTCTCCTGGTGTCCTTATTCGAATGATGTAGGATGAATATTACGATTAGCAGAAATTAAATGCTTTTCAATAATGGCTTGTTTGTGTCTAGTGTGTCTAGCTCTGTCTAGATCCTCTACTCTGGCAATGCTCTGTGCAGAGGCACATCCCCGTATTGGCCATATAAGGAAGTACACCCGCCGGGTAACCATTGAATGCAAGTCACCTAGTACAATAGCAAGGTTCAAGAATACAGCATTTCGTAAGTCAGATAACTAATCAACATTAATCTAAAAAAATGTTTTTGACTGTGAATAAAGTTAAATGTTTGAATGAGCGGAGATGTTACGTGCTAGCAGACGTCATCTCCATCTTTGTTTATGAAGTACCATGCATATTTTGGCGTTATATTAATGTTGACGAAGTAAGTTTAATTACTCTCAAAAAGTTATTACAAAGTGCGATGGAATTATTACAAATTGCGACAGCTTAGTTTATTACAAAGTGCGATGGACAGTTGTTACAAATTGCGACAGCTTAATTACTACAAAGTGCGACACGGCTTATTACAAATTGCGACAGGTATTACAAACTGCGATGATTATTACAAATTGCGACAGTACAGCATCTCTAACTAAGGGTCCACAATAGGTTTGGCGGAATGCGGGATGTGGATATTTTTGTGGTGATACGCGCGATGCGAGATCAAAACAGGAGCGGGAAGTGGGAATTTTGATAGCGAGCGGCAGCGGGATTTCCTATTTTTATGAGCTTGGGATGCGGGAAACGTAAAGGAAAAGTAGCGGGATACGGGAATTTAGTTTTGTCTTGACCACACCGTTTGACCGACAAAAATAGCTCTTTTGCGTGCAGTCAGCCTTTCAGGTTAAGGAATGACAACTATGAGTATCAAAGACCAAGTGAAGCCTTGTCAAATTTACCCATTATCAACTTTTTCCGGTATTTCTATTTTCATCGTTCGTCCGTGTCCAAATCTCAGAGCTTAGAACTCCCATTCATTTTCAAAAAAAAGTCCTGCATGTTTTGTCTTGAGAGACTTCAACAAGTACGACTGCTGTTTTTTTTAAATGTTATGCAACCAAGCAAGATTTGTTTAAGCCAGGGTGACGCCCAGTTGGTCAACGCAAAAAGCAGCATTTGCCATATAATGTTTTCAAGGCACTGTACCTTGAGGATTGGCTCTCCTATCTTAGGTTGAACAATCGTAACGCCACAGGGACGCTAAGATCATCAAGTCACGTTATGTTGCAGGTCCCGTTAGAATCAGGGACCTTCCAAGACAGCGCTACCAGCGTTTTCAGTGCGTTAACACATTCTACCATGATCAGCAACTCCACAGATTTTAGTTATTTCAAGAGTCAGTTGACAAAGCACCTTAAAACTAATGATGACAAAAAGAAAACTTCAAAGCTGGGTAATACTGTAATAAAAAAGCTGCTTTCTTAGTGACTTTTATTACAGCATTTACCCAGCTTTGAAGTTTTCTTTTTGTGATAATTTTATTAATCACCATAACAGTTCACTGAGGGTCAGTTATAGTGTCGTGGTTAGCTTAAGGTGAACAGCCATATTTCTAGTTTATAGATCTATTGTGAATAAACCAATATCATTATCGTTATTTCAAAATGAAAAGACCTTTAATCGGAAAGCCCTTACAAGATCAAAGAAGACAATTTCTTTTTAGTACGGCTGCGGCGGGACAAAATCGAAAAAATGAATGCTAATGGTGTCGTTGAGAGCCTTAAACATAAAGCTGCCTATTGCGTGAAGGTCAGTCTTACATAACGTCTATTTCAATATTCAAGCAAGAAAGTCGTGAAAAAATTAGGGTGGGATCGGGATTCGTACGTAAAAAAGGGTGGGATAGCGGGTTAAAGAAGAAAAAATAGGCGGGAAGGCGGGATTTGAGAACCCCTATTGTGAACCCTCCTAACTGCCATACACGTCTATAGCATATCAAATTATAAAATTCACATGCAATGAGAGGGGAGAAGTAAAAATAGTATAATTTTTGAGAAGATGTATGTAATTGCCAGTATGCATACATTTTCTTTTTATCGCAAGAAAGAAAGGAAAGAAAAATAATTACAAAAACAGCTTGCAGTAAGGGACTGATCATTACTTAGAGGTAGCCAGGGCTGCTGCAAATAGACCTATTCAGCTAACTCAATGTTGTACCCAATTCAAACCCTTTGGGAATAAAACGTTTTGTTTCAGGAATTTCCATATCATTTTAAGTGTGAATGCCACATTATAATGCAAATACAATACACAAAGAATCTTATCTCCGAGAGATTTGATTTGGGTTACAACATTGAGTTAGCCGAGCAGGTCTATAGGGAAAGGGTCCATGATTTGGGAAAAAAGGGGGGAGACAGACAAATTTATGCATGTATCTAAGCAACATGAGAGCCACGGGGGGAACAAAGGGTGGTTAGTTTGTTGTCACCATAATCTTTTACAAACAGAGCTACCTTCACACGAGAACTTGATTTAAAGCATTTTAATGACCTTTGGGTCATTGAGTCCTGCTTTCTCTAAAGAAAAAGCTTGCACCGGTTGGGGGATTTTGGTGGGCTGGATGGTCTGTACGAACAAAAATCAAAAAACAATAAATTAGCTGCATATTTTTGGCAATCTTTTCAAACTGATTTATTTCTGTACCTTTGGGTTCTTAATGCCTGCCATCTCTGTGAAGGAACACTTGAAACTATAGTTGGATTTTGGTTGGCTGGTTGGATGGAACAGACTGCAAAGTACATACAGTAAACGCAGTTTAGTTGATGAGTAGCTAGAAATCCTGAGCAGCCCACCTTATGCCTATATAGCTTATCTATATTAAACGTGATATTCCAATACGATTCTTACCTTCGGGTTATTACCCGGTTCTTTATGACACCCAGGCCTTTTAACTGGCGTTAGAATTCTGAAAATTTTCACATGCGAATCTGAGGCCACATCACAAGACATTCAATTTGTAAGGAATTGAGACTTAAAGTTAGGCACCAGGGCCCAGTTGTTCGAAGGCCGATTAGCCCTTAACCCGGGGTTAAATTTAACCCGGGTTTCCTTTTCTTGTGTTCAAAAGCATTTTCTCGGACAATTTCCTCTGTTATTTTTAGACCTTTCATTCATCAACTTGTAGACAAAAAGAATTAAAGCCGAAATGCTTTTTAAGCTTTCAAATCTGAATTCAAATCTCGCACTAACCCTGGGTTATCTTAACCCAGCTTTGAACAACTCGGTCCAGTAGTATAAGTTAAAACCGGTAGTAAATACTCTCAGGCCGAGGTTGACTTACCTGATTTCCCTCGTAGTACATGTATGGCATAAGCAGAACATCTTGTATTGCTTATGCTCACCTCCTGATCACTCGTTTGCTGGTTACCGAAAGGTAAACGTTTTCGTGCTGAAGTCACCATTGAGTGCGGTATTTTTCTTGGCTTTTCGGTGCTTTGGGAAGTATTTCCCGTCCGAGACCGTTTCTTGATGTTTTCTTGGCTACTTGTTATCAGTTCGCGTTCAAGTTCCTTCTGTGTACTCTGGCAGGTCGACGCAAATATTTCTAAGCTCTTGTTTAGACGTAGAACTTTATCATGGCAACTTCTGCAACAAAACTTAGGAAGTTCGTCCCTCTCCATCAGCATACGGGGCGGGGTGGCTGCAGCCCCCCCTTTCGGAAAAAAATAGTATTATTCGGGCAAAACTGATGTACCGTTCGGGCAAAGACACAGTAAGGTGAGACACCTGCTGCAGCGAACGACAGCTCACTACAGACGGCAAAAGACCACTTTCGTATCACAGTTTATTACACATGTATTGACAAAGTCGTCAGTGAACTTCAATCAAGGTTTGAGGGCAATGACCAAGAGGTTTTGTGGGCACTGGGCGAAATCGTATTCAGCCGTTCTCCAAACATCAGCAACATCCAAACTGTATCAAATTTCTATGGCGTGGATAGTGAAATGCTATCAAGTGAGAAGTCAATCTTTGAAAACTACGACTGCGGGAACCCATGCCAGAGAAAAAACGCAGCCGTGATGGTAAAGACCATGCATCAAAAGGGTCTCCATGACATTTTACCTGTTCTGTATAAAGTTACCTCCATCCTGGCCACAATTTCTGCAACCTCGTGCTCTGCTGAAAGGTCTTTCAGCGCCCTTCGCCGCATCGAGACATTTTTAAGATCCACAAAAGGACAAGACCGACTTAACAGTATCACCGTTATTAACATTGAAAGAAAGTATGCAAACAAGACAATGCAGAATGACATGCAAAGGATTATTGACATATTTGGGTGTCGACGTAATCGTTCTTCATAATTCTTTTAGAGCTCAAATGGGTACGTTTTATCTCTCACTTCATGGTTTTGTATTTTAGAAATGTTCATCTCGATTTGCCGAAAATATTTGCACTATCTTGAACGCCCGTACTCTCACGGCATGGCGAAGAAAACTTGACGTCACGAAAGAATCACCTTGTGCATCTGTGACCAACAAGTTTCATTCGGGCAAATTATGTTCAGCCCCCCCAACAAAATTTTTCCCGTACGCCGATGTCCCTCTCTGAGACTTCAATTTCACATACTCTAAGAATAATCCTTTTTAACTGTAACGCCTTTCCACTATCGATGAAAAAATAGTTTTTTCTCATGGTCGTCTCACCACACAACCGGCACTTACTTTTTAAAATATCGTCCGTCAAAGTTTGGGATCCTTCCATGTCTCACGACAGCTGGAGCGGCCACCAAGAAAACCGCGAAAATTTTGGAACCGTTAAAAGAGCCAATCACAGCGTTTGTTTTATCACGGCTCAACTTTCGGCAGGAGCCAATGAAAAATAGCCTTGTATCCACCTTTACCAGATCTCACTTTTCAGTGTAAAACAGAGTGAGATCTGGGTACGAGATTAACGTTGCATCTCACGCTAGCATTTTTGAGGTGATCTTTGCGGATCTGTTGCTTAGCGAAACTCATCGCCAATAGATGAGCTTGGGAACTGGTGCCTTAAAGGTTGGACGGGAGCCTGAACGCCTCAGGCATAGCAAGGAGGTATTCATGGCAACCCTGTGAGCGGGAACCACCCTGCATGCAGCCGCCAACTGACACCGTCACACTGAAAGAATTCAGTGGAAAATAGTCACCTGACCTAATACTTACCAATGCATAGAAGGGGAGGGACGGGCTGGGAGCAAGAATCCGCAACGATTCGCTAAGCAACAGATCCGCAAAGATCAGCTGAAAAATGCCAGCGTGAGATGCAACGTAAGTCACAAGATAAGCTAAAGGCCCCTGCGGACACCCCTCAGATCACGTTCGCTTGAGGAGGAGATCGCTGACCGCATTGGCTTGCAATTTAACTTTGCCTTAATTACATTTAGCCACATTTAAACTCATTGCCAATAGATGAGCTTGGGAACTGGTGCCTTAAAGGTTGGACGGGAGCCTGAATGCCTCTGGCATAGCAAGGAGGTATCCATGGCAACCCTGCGAGCGGGGACTACCCAAAATACGCAGCTCTCCAAGGTGCTTGGAGAGAGGAGGAACCCGCAAACAGGAGGGGGCCAGGGGACCTCCGGACTTCCCCAACGACCCCTAGCACTGCGGAATCTCAAAGGTGAGCCCAGTCCCGGGGTAAGACATACCTCACTGGTACCAAGGATCCACCACTGGCTTTCTTCATGCGGAGAGGGCGACGAACCAGTTACGTCAGTTTCTGAGAAAGGGACGCCAGGGCCTCGGCCGGTGTCGTTACGTATAACTGGTAGGCATTACTTGACCACCGTCCTAGAGACTGAATGATAAGCCAGCAGCGGAGAAGATCTGCCGAAGCCAATCTGTGAGTAGCACACGAGACAGAGGACGACCATCTTGCAGCCTGAAAAGAGGACCCGGAGCACTCCCCCGAACGGAGAGATAAGCCATCATAGCTTGCACCGCACAGAGCGGACCCTTACGAAAAGGGGTCGGTTTTCGACACCTTGATTGTGACACGTATACAAGAAGGGGAGGAGACTCCATCCACTGCAATATCCTGCACAGTCAAGTGGATTGAGGAAGAGAAGCTGGCCAGATTGGGCACTGTGAACTCGGCAGCGCGGAGGAAACCAAAGTACCCCAGCGTGCTCGCTGCCCAAAACATGCAATTATCCGGAAGGTGGCTGTTTAGGGATTTCCAGATTAACAGCATGTGGCTATCCGTGATGGGCAGACGATTAGACGACGAAGAACCCTGAGATCGTTTAATCCCACGAACGACCCGTTGCAAACGCAGACAGTTCTGTAGAGGATCTGGAAATCCTTGCTCAACATGCAGCGCGCGGACGCCAGACAAATAGACCTTGATAGTCGAATGTACGAATCTCGCCAGAAAAGTTGCAAAGAGACACAGACTCCATTCATAAGCAGGACAAGGCGACCCAGACGGATGAAGCTGACCTAGCTGGAGACAAAAGTTGAAGCACTTCCTTTGAGCGGTTGCATAAATCTTGCTAGTGGATGGGGCTAGGCCATGTATAAGGAAGGTGTGACACTGCTGTTCTAGAGAAAACTGGTCAATTCCGACAGGAGCTGGGGAGGAATAGGTGTTGGGGTTGGCTGAGCACCTGGGGCCAACTGTCGAAATTCCTGCCAACGGAAACGAGAAAGAGCATCAGCAATTTGATTGAAGACACCTGGGATGTGTTGAGCGGAAAAGGAGAAGCTATAGCGTGCTGCAGAGAGTAACAAATTGCGGAGGAGTTGCATGAGGGATGGAATCTTTGAAGTCCTCGAATTCAACATGTGGACCACGGCCTCATTGTCTTAACGAAACAAGACATGCTTTTTACACCACTGCGCGCCCAAGACATGTGCTGCCACCAGCACGGGAAAGAGTTCCTTGTAGGCGATGGATTGCTGCTGTTGAGAAACAGCCCAAGGGCCTGCAAACCAGAAGCCCTGGAAGTAGGCCNACACTGCTGTTCTAGAGAAAACTGGTCAATTCCGACAGGAGCTGGGGAGGAATAGGTGTTGGGGTTGGCTGAGCACCTGGGGCCAACTGTCGAAATTCCTGCCAACGGAAACGAGAAAGAGCATCAGCAATTTGATTGAAGACACCTGGGATGTGTTGAGCGGAAAAGGAGAAGCTATAGCGTGCTGCAGAGAGTAACAAATTGCGGAGGAGTTGCATGAGGGATGGAATCTTTGAAGTCCTCGAATTCAACATGTGGACCACGGCCTCATTGTCTTAACGAAACAAGACATGCTTTTTACACCACTGCGCGCCCAAGACATGTGCTGCCACCAGCACGGGAAAGAGTTCCTTGTAGGCGATGGATTGCTGCTGTTGAGAAACAGCCCAAGGGCCTGCAAACCAGAAGCCCTGGAAGTAGGCCCCAAAACCAAGGGAACCGGCAGCATTAGATGCAACTTCTAAGGCAACGGCAGGAGACAGTCCTGGGTACAACCAAAAACTGACGCCATGCCACTGAGCTAAGAGATGATCCCACCACTGCAGGTCAAGGTGGAATTCTTTGTTTAACCGAATGGGATGATCCTTCTTGCGGAAACAACTTAAGAGGTCGATCATACGGCGGAGGAATGTTCTGCCTGGCCGTACCACTTTAGCCGCATGATGCAAATGGCCAATGAGTGATTCGAGTTCGCGCCTGCAGCACCATTTGCGAGGCAGCCATGAATAAATCAGCTCCTTCAAAGCCTGCAACTTTTCATCAGGGAGACGTGCCACCTGAGCAAGGGAATCTAACTCGATGCCCAGGACAGCTAGCACTGGAGTAGGCCCCACACACTTGCCAGGGTGAAGAGGTAAGCCCAAACGATCACAAACTAATAATGCAATACTAAGGTTCTGCGCGCACTGAGGGGAGTCAGGGGGCCAGCCGTTATGAAATCGTCCAAATAATGTAGCAAATCGGGGACCTTATAGTTGTTAACTAATATCCATTCCACTAGCTCGGCAACACAATTAAAAATATAAGGGGCGGAACGGAGACCGAATGGAAGGGCTAAGTCAACGTAAAACTTGCTGCGGCATTTAATACCCAGGAGAAAGCGGTCTGAAGGGTGAATGGCAATGTTCCGATAGGCAGCTTCAACGTCGAATTCGGCCATCAGTGCTCCTTGACCAAACTGTGATACCATGTGAATAACTTGATCTATCATTATGTAATGCAGTGTAAATTCATCAGGGTTAATACCGTCATTCACGCTAGCCCCTCCGGGGGAGGAGAGATCCACAATGAGACGCCACTTTCCCGGTTGACCCTTTTTGGGGGATAACCCCAAAACTGCTAACGTGAAGAAGAGGAACAGGAGGGGAGGCAAAGGGGCCAGCAACCCTCCCCAAGGACACTTCAGTCGCCAGGTACTCATCGATTACTGAGGGGTGCTCATAGGCTGGGGGGTTTGTTCCTTTTGGCAGGCTTGAGAGATTGTGACGGAGAAAAACCTAGTTTAAAACCAAAGCGAAGCCCCCCCAAAACAAAGGCCACGTGATGAGGATTTGGATGATGCCTCAACTCCCAGCAAAACTGCTTCACTTTCAATGGACTGACTGCAGAAACTGGAGGGAGCGGGACTAAAGGGAGGAGAGAAACAAGAGCATACTTGAGGGGTCAAAAAGTTATACTCCCCCACCCCCCCCCCCCCCCCCCCCC